GCTCTAGTGTCAAATAGTGGTAATAATTCTTGATAATCAATTTATCTTTTTTTCTTTTTCTCTTCGATTTTATTGTATTAACTTAATAAAATATTTTTATAATTGCATGTAATTATTCATACATATATAGCACGGCTTATTGGAAGATCACATCTTGTAAATATTTTAGTTTTTGTCTTTGTGAAATAGTACCGTGGGTAAATAAAGTTTGATTGATTGATTGATTGATTGATCCTGTTAAAACAAATCAGAAAACTCATGCTGTATATTCTATACCATGCGGTGACTGCGCGAAAGAGTATTTGGGTCAGTCTAAACGCTAGTTTGGTGCGGGCGTTGTGAAAACTCGGAATGCCGGAATATGCCGAAATTTCGCGGAATATGCTGGATTTTCGCGGAATATCACGACATTTTTCCGGAATATGCTGGAATTAACCGAAATTGTCCGCAATTCAATAAATATTAAATAATCTTGGCATTTATAATACTGGCCAAAACCGTTATCTTAGCATATAATTAAAAATTTGCCAATACTAAACATCAGCCGGCTGTGTAAATTGCACATTTTTATCGCGAATTAGACCATGTCATTTGATGCGCAGTCGAAACTCCGAACCGATTGTTGTTCTCTCTAGACCGGTAGCGCCATGGCAAGCGAATCGACCGATTAATTTTTCAATCTCATGAGTAAAGACTGCGGAATACCATTGACTTGTCTAAAAAGTCGCAGTTTAGATTTTTAAAGAAAATTTAATGTTGTTGAGAAGGCTTTCGCGAAATTTTATGCCCTTCTTCTAAATTCGGCCACCAAAATCGTGAAAATAAAGTCTCGCGAAATATTGCCTCGAAAAAATCGCGATATTAAAGTCGCGCGAAATCTCGCAAAATTCTGTGATATTCCGCATATTCCGCGAAATTCCGGCATATTCCGTGATATTCTGGCTTCTCACAACGCCCTTTGATTGGATACTAAATATAAAGTTTGCTCGTGGCTGGAAAGCGATTGGATTCGGCGTGGTCTCCTTTATAGACATGTGCAATACAATTACGTAATGCTCGCTAAATACAATTAAACCGGATACACACAGTTGAACGTGCATACCCAATAATTTATGCGGGAATAGTTGAACGTGCATACTGAATAATTGAGCAGGTATTTTCAGTTATGATATCATTGATGGTATAACGTCATTGGCGTACACCTCTGTTGACGTCATATATAAATTCGCTTGAATACGAATTACTTCTGTCGGTGGATGGGGGGGGGGGGTAACCTACTTATATTCATAACTGACTGAAAAGTGAAATTTTGTACTGTATTTCAAGATTTTTTTGTCAGTTTGATGAAACACTCTAACCTTATGATTGCTCCCATCTTCATCCGAAGTGAAACCCTCAGTTTAACAACGTAACTTTAAAAAAAGGGCGAGTGTAATATTTGGAAAAACGTCGTGTGCAAATAATGCATTGAAAAAACGTCGCGTGTAATTATTGCATTGAAAAAACGTTGCGTGTAATTCGGAAGAAAAAAACGGCAAGTGTAATTTTGAAGAAAAAAACGAGTGTAATGGTAAAAAAACGGCGAATGTTTACAGCCATGGCTCCTTCTCGGCCAATCGTAGTCATATTATTAAAAGCAAAACGTTTATCGTTGCCATAAACTACGAAAGCCGGGTAGGGACTTCAGACTTCGGACTTCAGACTTCGGACTTCAGACTTCGGACTTCAAACTTCAGACTTCCGTTTCGCATCATGGAGGAAGACGTATGTGATTGTATGTATTCGTATTGTGTATTGAATTTATGAATTTAGAAAGTTTCTGCGTGTTTAACATATTATAGTTTGACTACAATGTAACCATGTTTGATTATTTTCCAATCTACTACTTGTAAACGTCCGACTAATGCATAAAGTAACTTAAAGTAAATTCATTACTTTACCTCTTCAGTTTGTAGAGTTCTTAAATGAACATATACTGCCTCGCTTGGTTAAAAAGTTTGGCGATCACAAGGTAAGCAATCCGAAGGGTTCGTTTTAAAATTCAAAAAATATATACTGTAATAATTTCAAAACAAATTAGATTTTACGATCAGGAGGAATTTTATAAAACAGTAGCAGTTAAGTGCTAACAGCGTAGTTAATTAACTGAAATAAATGTCGCAAAACGCAGATTATCGTTTTAGGAATTTTGTTTTAATACAACTTGTAAGTGCCTCTGCCCATCGGCACTAGTGCCAGGCCCCTGGACTAAATATATGCGAAAAAAACGTTTTTATCGAAAAATATTTGTACTAGCTGTTGCGTTATTGTTTTACTTATTTACTAACTTTTGGTTGTGCGATCTGGGCACAAGCGGGAAGAAATCGGAAATATATATACTTTCTATACGATATTGACTTGCTATTTATCGGTTATACTTTATATTAATGCATGTTTTGTATTATATTGTATGTAGTTGACATCTTCTATGATCTATCGTTTGAACATTCTATGCGTGTGTGTGTGTGTGTGTGTGTGTGTGTGTGTGCTTAAAGGCGATATAGCTCAGAAAACAACGCCGGTAGGACCTGATAAATAAGACTTTCGCCGAAGCCAGTTGGCAGAACGGCAAAGACATCTTGGGCCTAGCTTGGCTGTCAACAACAAGCTTTTGAATACATGACTTTTGCTGTTCTTTCAGCGTCGTGTGTCCAAACTTCGTTCAAAGATTTTGATAAAGCCCTTTCAAAATACTGTGTGTTTGATTTATTTTCTGCCATAAATTATATTAGGGACGGGCCATTTGATTTTTCATGGGGGGGGGGGCGCAAATCCGAAAAAAAATATCGAGCATGACTCGAATTGAAGAAAAAAAAATCGAACATCAACACCATCAAAAAAATATCGAGCACAAAAAATTTCTAAATTAGCAATACTCTATATTGAAAGCAAAATGCTCCAGCCCGATTTCTGGTTCTGAATTCTGGTTGTTGCTTTGTAACATCCGTGAGTCAAAAATGCAATCTGAACAATATTTTTCACGAAAGCAAAGGGCACTTTGCCACCGGAAAAAGAGCACTTTTGTGTCTTCTGAAAACTTGGGTGACCTTTGCCCTCCGGTTCCTACGCCCCTGTACGTATTGGGAACACTGATTGGGAACCGTGAGAATTTGTATATAGATGCCATTATGCCAATGCAAATATTAATGGTAGAGATGATTTAAAAAAAAATTACACAGTACATTTGAATAATTTATTTATAATATGGTATGTTTTCTTTCCCAGTACATAAAGTATATGGAACATATTAACTGCAGAAACAGTTTTTTTATATTAAGACAACTATAGTTTTTATGTTCTTGAACAAAACATTTATAAACATTAACCTTAAAAATATTAACTATACCTATAAAGTATATATTTAAATATCTACAACGATTTTTAATGACAATTCGCAATCAGCCCGTTGCGTTGCCGTCCCCGTATTTGGGAACGTTCCTCGCTCGGCTCTGGCTTGCAGAAAGGGAAAAAAGCAACCCCGTCTGGATATGATGTTCCTTCAAGCGGCTAGTATGTATGCGAAAGGTTGATGTAGTGGTGAGTGCATGTCTACGTTTTTGTGCTCTACTTGAAAAATTTGAGATTAAATCACATTTTAAATATAAGTTTCAGAGCGCCGTTTACTCATTAACTGGCAGTGTGCCAAAATGCGCCCTACTTTGGTATTTCCTCTGTCTGATGCCAGCCGATTTTTACTCGTCAGTGGTAGAGTACTGCCTGCCGGTAAATAGGTTACACTTGATCCAATTTTGATCGGGGCTATGGTCTACGTTTCGTAGACTTATATTCTATACCGAAGTTGTCCTCGTATATAAATCCTCACTCTAAATATTTATTATACACAAAAAACAATACGAAATATATGAATTCACTTGTCTCAAACCCTGTCAATTCCCACTCTTCACCAACTTTGCTTTCTTGCTTTTCTCCAACTTTTCTTTCATTCTACTTTCGTCTGTAATTTTTCTTTTCTTTTTCTTACGTTCACTTGTATTTTCAACACTACTAGTTTCTTTAGTGTTTCCCTGTGAAACAACATTACTTTTCACTTTCCCTTTCGTTTTTATGTCATTTTCCTCAAGGTTCTCTACTTCGTTTTCTTCTCTTTTCCTCTCAACATTATTTACTTCCTCAGTATGTCCTTTCGAAAGAACTTTCTTCTTTCCTTTGATTTTCCTTTTCTTTTTTATGCGTTCTTCCCTGATGATGTTGTCAACATTATCTCCTTTCAATTTCTTTCTTTTCTCTCTGCTCCCTTCATCATCCATCAATTCAAATGTTTCATCTTGGTCAGAATTATCGGAAGCATTTTCGTCTTCATCACCTTGTCCTTCCTTTGTTTCTTCCGCAGTTACTGCCTTCAGTTTTCTCAACCGTTCTGGTGTATTTTCGTGTTCCTCAGTTTCCTCATTGATGTCTCCTCTTTCTTTTCCATCGTTCAAACCCCATGGATTTTCCGAACTATCACCGACCAGTCCAAAATTTCTAAAATTCTCGGGAATCTCTGCGCTTTCTTTGGCTTTATTCGCCTCCTCTCTGACGACATGTTTGTGGGGTATATGATCTACTCGTTCACCATTCGGTTTCACTGGTGCACCTTCAATGATACCCGATTCTAATTGCTTCTCGATAATTTCATCATAATCATCCTTTAACTTCCCATCTCGCTCGATCCTTTTGCATACGTTAGCTAATCGCTTTCCACTTGGTTCTAGATTGCTATTTGGTAAAGAATGTCCTGGAATCGATGGTACTTTGACTTGATATCTACCGTCATCAGCCCGAGTAATGTTTTCTTTAAATTCATGATGAACGTCCAGTTGGTCGTTCTCCCCTCTACCTTCAATTCCAACTACATCCAGTGTATACAATTGCTCGTAGTCATTTGATTCTCTTGTAAACATACACACATTGTTCGAAATATCACCACCATGAATAATCCAACCAAACGAAGTACCTTCAACGATAGGATCGCCATCTTTTCCTTTGTAGATTTCCTCTGTCTTAATCTTGCAGAAGGTGTTGTCACCTAAGATCATGTGTATTGGATATTCACCATCTCTTGTCATATAAAACCTCTTATCCTTTGTGTGTTCATAATTCCATTTAAGTTTGTTCATGTATAATAATAATAGTGGGTTTATTAATACACGTTCAATAGCAAAAAGCTAAATTACAACGTGTTTACATCGTCAGATGTTAATTAGAATTAATTAGAATTATTACTTATTTAAAACTATTTACATCAATGGACCTATATGTATATTAAAATCGTTTATATATATATATATATATATATGGAATTGTATAAAAATGTATATAAATCTTACTT